TTCTCCCCATGAGGGTGGTGGGACACTGGGAGTGGTTGAATGGAGAAGGTTTGGATGTGTTCAAGGCCAGGTTGGGCACAGGAGCTTGGAGCAACCTGCTCTAGTGGAAGGTGTCCCTTCCAGGTTGGAACTGGATGATCTTAAGGCCCTTTCCAACCCAACCCATTCCATGGTTCCATGAGTTGGGGCCTGAAACATTGGAGGCTTTTCACAACGGGAGGTTTCTTGTGTTCCAAAGACAAGAAACGACCACAGAAACGCTAAAAACTTCCCCCCAACCCCCCAAAAAAGAGCTAAATTTTGGAGAAGACCATTTTGGGATGAAGCCTCCAAAAAGCTGCCTCTTTGGGTTGTGTCCACCTCAGTTTTGGGGCAGAAAAGTGTGATTTTGGGGTCAATTCTCTTCTAGATGAGCAGGGAAGGGGCTGTGGCATCGAGAACGCGTTGAGAGCCCCAGAGGTCCTGAGTGAGCAGATTTGGTCACGTTTTTGTGGTCGAAGAGGTCAGGATTGTGAAAGACGTTTCCTTCCCCTCCTTGGGATGAGCTGACGCTTCCGCCCCACCCCAGAGATCCGGCTGGTATCCAAAGGGAAAGGCTCCGAGATGTTGCCAGCAGGAGACATCGAGGAGATGGAGCTGGGAGAGCAGGAGCAGAAAGCACCTAAAGGAGGTAGCGGGGTGAGGGGATGGGTTTGGGCACCCAGGGATGGGTAGTGGGGTGAGGGGATGGGTTTGGGCACCCAGGGATGGGTAGTGGGGTGAGGGGATGGGTTTGGGCACCCAGGGGAGGGTTTGAGCTCTTTAAAGCAGCTTCTGTCTGAAGCTGTAGCCAGATGTTGACACGTGGCTCCTCCATTGGCTCTCGGTGTAAGAAGAGGGTGGAGAACAGGGCGGTGGAGCCCCTCGAGAGGTGGTTTTGGGGTGATCTCTCTCTTTGTGCTCTCCTTTAAGAGAACATCTCTTGGGGGGATGCTTTTTGGGGTCACCTCACCCCTGACAATGTCCATCATTCCCTTGCTTCCAGACAGAGCCATCACGCTGCTCTACGTGCTCCTGGCCCTCACCTTCGTGGTCTTCATGGCTCTCACCATTGTCAACCTCCAGAGAGGTGAGTCCACCACATGCTCCCCAAGTACCGTTTGGGTCAGAACACCACTGGATGGAGCAGAACGTGGTCCTGAGTTCAGATTGAAGGGCCTTGTGCAGCCCCAGGGCCCGATTCCAAGTGAAGACCAGCTCTTTCTTCCTCTCCCTTAGTCTCCATGGCATGGGAAGCACTGGAAGAGGCCAGGATGTGGAGTGAGAGCAGCCACACAACAGCGTGGCACAACCTCTCGCAGGTCCAACACGCCCTTGGTACGACATCTCCCCCCCAACCACCTCCCTGGTCCCTGCTGCGTCCTCAATATCCACATGGATTCCCCTCCCCCCAGCGCTTCCCAGTGGGAATAAAACCATCCAAAACCGTTTCCCCTTGAGTCAGGTCTTGTTCTGAGTTTCCTCCTCTTCTGTTCCCTGCAGACAAGCAGCTTTCTGGCGAGCTCAAGGCCATTCACATCCGGCTCCTCAATGGTATGCCAAGGAAAAGGCAATATGGGGGGAGATTCCCGCAGGATCCCAAATCCGGCAGCATCCAGATGGGATCAAAGTGGAGTTTTCCCTCCTTCCAGTGTCTCAGGAGGTGGAGAACGTGCAGTCGAGGATGAGCCAGTGTGAAGCAGAGTGTGGGAAGGAGCTGTTGGGTCGCCTCCAAGAGCTGGGTGAGAATGTGGTTTTGATGGAAAATCCTTAAATTTGGCCCTTTCCCTCGATTCTCCAAACGCCTGGAATCGGGGAAAGGTGCTGGGAATGCGTGAAGCCGACTTTGGGATGATGGGAAGTGGGATATCGGAGGAAAACAAGCCTGGATGTGAAGAAATGGAACACAAACGTCATTGACCCAAAGAGCTTTTTAGTGCCGGGCTTGAAAAGAAGAACAACTCACATCACGGTGGGAATGGGGATGGGAAAAGGGGGAAAAGGGGATAGAAATGGAGGGATTTGGGTGTTGTCAGCACCCAAATTCCCTTCAATCCATCCCAGAGGGAAGGGACGCGCTGGAGCCGGTGCTGGGGCAGCTGGAGGGGGTGAAGCGGGAGCTCTCCATGGTGCTGGAGGAGACGCGCAACCTCTCCCGTGAGCGCCGAGCCCCCCCTCCCTGTGCTTCCCTATGGATTTTCCTATGGCTTCCACGCTTCCATCCCGCTTCCCTGCAGGAATCCTCTGCACGACGTGTCCCGCCGGTTGGCTGCAGTTTGCCAGGACCTGCTACTTCTTCTCCAGCAGCACCAAGTCCTGGTTGGCAGCGAAGGACTTCTGCGGCAACCTCAATGCTCACTTGGCCGTCGTCAGCTCCGAGCAGGAGAATGTGAGTGGAGAAATCCCATCGAATCCCATGAGTTCCGAGGGATATCGGGATATCGGGCAGCGATTCCAGCAACAGGGAGCTGGAGGAGGAAGATGCAACGGGTTGAGGTGGTTCTTTGGCCGCGTTGCCATGGATCTGACCCCAAAGGACCTGGGCTGGGTGGATACGGAGCAGGGAAAGCTGGATGCTCCGCTGGGAGATGTGTGAGTCTGAGGGAGTCCTGGGATAGGAGAGGGGCTCACCTGAGTTTGAGGTGGGTGTTGCAGTGCTCCATGGGGATAGGTCCTTGTGATCGTACGGGAATCCCTTGGGAAGAGCAGGAATCCTTTGGGGAGGACAGGAATCTCTTGGGAAGGGCAGAAAGCCCTTGGAAAGGACAGAAATCCCTTGGAAAGATCAGGAATTCTTTGAGAAGGACAGGAATCTCTTGGGAAGGATAGAATTCCCTTGGAAAGGGCAGAAATCCCTTGGAAAGGTCAGAGATCCCTTGGAAGGGACAGAAAACCCTTGGAAAGGGAAGGAATCCTTTAGAAAGGACAGGGCAGAAATCCCTCTGGAAAGGGCAGAAACCCCTTGGAAAGGGATGAAACCCTTTGGAAAGGGATGAAACCCCTTGGAAAAGGCAGGAATCCCTTGGAAAGGGATGAAACCGCTTGGAAAAGGCAGGAATCCCTTGGAAAGGGATGAAACCCCTTGGAAAAGGCAGGAATCCCTTGGAAAGGGATGAAACCCCTTGGAAAAGGCAGAACCCCCTTGGAAAAGGCAGGAATCCCTTGGAAAAGGCAGGAATCCCTTGGAAAAGGCAGGAATCCCTTGGAAAGGGCAGGAATCCCTTGGAAAGGACAAGAATCCCTTGGAAAGGACAGAAATCCCCCCAGTCTCTCGAGCACCTGAAATCGGGGCTAAACCTGGAGATTTTGGGGTTCTTTGGGGCAAAGCATCACTTTGGCCCATCCCTTTGCAAGGAACAGGCTCTCAGCAACTTCCGCTTCCTTCCTGATCCCTTTTCCTTCCCTTTTCCCACCCTGTTGGTAGAAATTCCTGGCAAATCACATCATGGAGAACCGGGTCTTCTGGCTGGGCCTGACGGACACCTACAGGGAAGGCCAGTGGCAGTGGGAGGACGGCAGCTTCCTCTCGATCTCGTACGTTTTGGGCCCCATCGGAGGGTAAATCCCCCCCAATTCAGCTTTTAGCCCCTTTCTGCACCCAAAACAAAGCTCTTCCTCCTCCATCCGCTCCGTTTTAGTGCTTCCAGAGCACAGGAATGAGCTTTGTGCTGCCGAAGAGGCCAAAAGGGGCCATAGAAGGAGCTGTTGGGTCTCTTCACCCTGTATCCAAGGGTTTTTCCCAATGGATCTCCTCATTCTTGGGATGCTGGGAGAAACATCACTGTTTTCCCACCTGGAACAGCAGGAAAATGGGAAAAGCATTGAAATTGTATCCCTGAAGGCACCAAAATGGTGTTTAATGGGGGGGGGGAAGGTTCTTTTTGGGATGCTGCCCTTGCGCTTCCATCCAACTCCTTATCCCAAATCCCAACCCCAAAATGCTCCCAAATGGCACATTTTCCACCCAAACTGATGTGCCCCCCCATCTCCTTCCCAGGTTCTGGAATAGCGGTGAACCCAACAACGTGGGGCAACACGGGGAGGATTGTGCCACCATCTTCTCCAATGGGCTCTGGAATGATGTGTCCTGTTCCAAAACAGAGGCTTGGATCTGTGAGCGCCCCTGTTAGTGCTTCCCCTTCCCAAGGGATTCAACTAGGAGGGGAACACAGGAAAAACATGGATCTGGGCAACAAAGGTGTTCAAAAATGGGGCTCCTGCTTCCCAGAAGTCCCTCTTTTGGGGGGATTCTGGGATTTGGGGAAAAGGAGGGATTTGGTGTGGAATCCGCGGAAGGAAAAGGAATAAATAAAGAGTTTTGATGGTGATTCGGAGCCAAACTCGGGTCCATGGAGGGGGGAGGGCGGGATTCCCACTTGCATTCCCAAGGTATAGGGGAAACCCCATTCCCAAAAGGGGAAGAGACGCGGCCAAGGCGGGAGCGTGTTCTGGATGTGATGCAAATCCCTGTTGTCCCCACATCCCATCCTGTTGGCCCCAAATCCCCCTCTCTTGTCCCCAAATCTCCCTCTTTTGCTCCGAAATTCCCCTCTTTTATCCCCAAATCCCTCTCTCTTATCCCCAAATCCCTCTCTCTTATCCCTAGATCCCAGTCTTTTGGCCCCAAATTCCACCCTGTTGGTCCCAAATCCCCCTCGTTTATCCCCAAATCCCCCTCTTTTGCCCCAAATCCCCCTCATTTTGCCCTCAAATTCCACTCTTTTATCCCCAAATCTCCCTCTTTTATGCCCAATTCCCCCTCTTTTACCCCAAATCCCCCTATTTTATCCCTAATTCCCCCTCGTTTATCCCTAATTCCCCCTCTTTTATCCCCACATCCCCCTTCACCCCCTAAAGCGGGGCCGGGGCGGGGGCACCTCGCTCCCCCCCTCCCTTTCCCCCCTTGCCCTTGGCCCCGGCGCTCGGAAGG